AGAAACCCCTTATCGAAATCGGTGATAAAGAGTGATTTAGAAAAAACAAATCCCTTCCATAATTCGAAATGTAAAACAATTAAATTCTGAAATTTCCTGACCCACCTTTATTTTCTAGAACGAGAATTAATATAACGTTGAATCATCATTTTTATCACAACCTAATTCCAAATGGGGGTCATTTTAATATGAATAATATTTGGTGAAAAAAATGTGATCGATTTAAAGAGGCCAGTTCTACGAAAAAAAAGAGATTAATTTTCGACATAGTTCGATAGCATTTTCAAGCCTAGCTGAACCTTTCCCAAGTCAAATTTTGACTTTATACAAATCAAATGTTGCCCTTTTCAATCGCAAGCAACCCTTTCCAAGTCAAATGTAACCCTTACACTTTACATGTTACCTTTTTTATTTCAACCTGTAACAGTTGCAATCATTTATTTATTTTTCTTTTAGTGCTACATTTGATTGTAAAAGGTTACACTTTGGAAAGGTCGAAATATAGTTGAAAATGCTAAATATAAAACGTTAATACTTTTCTATTCATTTTCCTTGTACAATTAAAAAAGCACTCATTTTTTGTTCTGTTTTATTCATTAAATATCGTAGAAAAATAACAGTCTTTTTACTCAACCTTTCGACGTAAAATTGAGATTTATATTTCAAACCTATTTCATCATATAAAAAATAATCTATTTTATTCATTCAAATTCTTCTTCAGCCTTTCTCACGGCGACATTTCATTTTAGAATAAAATCCTAGATAAGGCATTATCTTTATACTGAGGTGGACGACACCTTTGCAAATCATAGAAAATAAACGTGATAACTTTCAACACTACCCGCTTTTTAGCGAAAAATGTTTGCAATTAAAACAAATTTTCGTTTGAGTTAAAAAGAAAAAATGTAAAAACTAAATGGAATACATTTTCTTTTGGTTTTTTTCGAAATGCTCCAACTGATACAAATTAATAGGCTTTAAATCCTTATCACATGAGTGTTTTGTTTTTGATTTTTGGCCTATATGGCACGTACCCAACTTAATTTTTTCTTAATCAAAAACTTTAAGTAGACAGCAGAATATTAATTGCTAGATTTAATACGAGAGTTAAATGCTTGGGTTCAACGTAATGTTACTCGAGTAATAAATTTTTTCTTCACCATTTTCAAAAGGTTAAACCTCACTTGGGGGTAAAAGTGAAGGAATGGGAGGTCAGCTTGTAGGAATTTCGTTTGATCTGCAGAAGAGAGTGAGTCATGCTTTGTGAATTTTGTCACGAACTTAATTTCTACTTTGTAAACACTGCAAATTTCAGCTTGGAAGGCCACTGTTTAAAATATTGGAAATAAAAGATTTTTGACTTAGAACGTATGTAAAGAGTTTGAATATTTTTAGACGTTTCCTCAATTTCCAGAGTAGCGTGGCAATTATACAACCGAGGATTTTCTAGCGATTGACTTCTGACACTAAAAAACACTGACAATAAAAATTTACATATTGGGGCTTAGCATGACAAAGTTGTCCAGTAGAAATGTGTGTTTAAAAATATTGAAAAAGCTTTCTCTATTTCCAACTGGGATGACTGAGGTTTAAAAAACTGCTTTAATAAATGCTTTCAATGATAGACGGTAAACAGGCAAGTTTGTAGAATTCATGTGGGTGTCATTTTTGTGTACCATCGACTTCAGAAAAAATGGAAATTTGTGCAAATTTTAAAAGATACAAACTTTAAGGGTTTTTCATGTGATTGAGTAAGAAATGAACTTATCTTAAAGGAAATTCATGTCTGGTGTCAAGCTTCAAATTTTGAGGCTACCTGACTTCAAGAAACGCTGGAAATTGGTCCAATATAGCGGGTCAAAGTTTGAAGTGCGTATTGAAAATAACGCGTGCATATGTGTTTTGTAATGACTATTGTTTTAAACTTCTATAGTGGAAATGTGGAGGATGAAAATTTTGAAGGTTTTGCAAGTCAATTTTGAGCGTAGCGTGGCTGTCACGAACTGAATTTGTGGCCGCGTGACTTCATAAACAGTAGAAATATGCACATTCGTGCTTAGCAGGTTTCATTTGAGCTAGCTTTCATATTTTTTCTAAAGGTACTATTTATAGAGCGGAGTTAAAATGTTAAAAGTTGAATGTTTGAGATGAGAGGAAAATAAATATCATGGATGACATTTTGGTCAATTTTTATGACAATTGTTAGGCAATTTTGAGAATAGTCCGTGTGTAACTAATTTTCGTGGCCCCCCTTCTTCAAAAACAGTGACATTTTTTATACACTGGGACTTAATAGGCAAATTTTTGAAAAATTTCTGTTTAAGTTGGGATGACATGATGAATTTATTGTCAATAATTTGTTGGAATTTTATGTCAGTTCGTAGGCATGTAAATTTGAGAGAAGCGCGGCTTTCTTGTGGATGACATTTTGGTTGCCTCTGACTTCTTAAAACTGTGCAAAGTTACACATAGGACCACTGTATGAATATACTTCAGGTGTTTTAAGGACTTAAAACTTACATAAATACGAGCAGTACTTAGCAATATTATATAATAACAATATAATTAGCAATATTTGGTGAATTTTTATCTAGTGGATGTTTTGGTATGGTTGAATGATAAAAAAAAGTGAAACTTTAAGGGTTTTTTCGCGTAGTTGGAAGGCAGGCTAATTGAAAAGAAGAGTGGCATCCCTGCCTGGGGATATTGTCAATATTTTGGCCCCCTGACGAAAATATATATTAATTGTTTAGAAAACAGCGGAAATTTGGAAGGCATTTAAGAAAGAAGAACCTTATTGCCTTAAGTATTTTTTCCTCATTATTTTCTCAATAGTGAAAATTAAAATATTGAGACTTAACAGGCTAGTGCTAGAAAATACTTCAGGTGTTTAAGTTGGGGTGATTGTGACGTTTTTAAACTGTACACATACGAATATTGAGCATTTTTTAAAAATAAAAATTTGTTAGATGTTTGTTGTTGCGGCCTTTTTTTCAGTTGGTAAGCCACATGTTGATCCAATTTTTGTGGCCACTTTGAATATAATTCAACTGTTTTGAGTTGTTATGACTGAATTTACAAGGATAAAAGGTAAATTTTTATGTCAGTTGGTTGGCAGGCAATTTAGTGACTGAGGATGTGACTTTTGTGGCTCCTTGACTTCAAAAACAGTGAAAGAAAATCTGCACATTCGTGCTTAATAGGCCACCGTTCGATTAGAAATTTTAAATTATACGATTTGTAAGGCTAGTTTATATGTCATGGATTACAATTGGGTCAATTTTAATTTCAGTTGGTAAGCATGCAATTTTAAAGCTAGCCAGAATGCCAAACTATGTATTTAATTTCTGTATGGACAGTTTTTGAATATATTTCAAGTGTTTTGAGTTGTTATGACTGAATTTATAAAAAATAAATTAAAAACAAGTGAATTTTCACGTTAGTTGGTTCGCAGGCAATTGGAAGGCAAGCGTGGCATTCGTGGCTGGGGATGTTGTCAGTTTTGTGGCCGCACGGCCACAAACAGTGAAAATGTGCACATTCGTATTTAGTAAGCCACAGTTTGATTGGAAGTTTTAAATTTTAAATTATACGATTTGTAAAGCCGGCTTAAATATCATGGAAATCAATTTGGTCAATTTTTACTTCAGTTGGTAAGCATGCAAATTTGAGGGTAGAAAGAATGCCACACTATGGATCCAATTTTTGAGGCCACTGAATATATTTCAAGTGTTTTAAGTTGTTATGACTGAATAAAAAAAGTGAATTTTTATGACAGTTGGTTGGCAGGCAATTTGGTGAGAAGCGTGGCATTCCTGACTGTGGATGTTCTCCAGCTTAAATGTCATGGATTACAATTTTATCAATTTTTTAGGTCAGTTGTTAAACATGCAATTTTGAGGGTAGCCAGAATGCCATTCGATGGATCCAATTTTTGTGGGCACTTTGAATATATTTTCAAGTGTTTTGAGTTGTTAAGACTGAATTTACAAGTTTACAAAGAAAATAACGTACTAAAAAAAAGTAAGTGAATTTTTATGTCAGTTGTTTGGCAGGTAATTTTGATAGAGGCATGCCATTTATCTAGATTTCATTTTGTGGCCCCTGGACTTCATAAATAGTGAAAACCTGCGCATTCATGCTTAGCAAGTCACAGTTTAATTTGCAGTTTTAAATTTTAAAGTATACGATTTATATGTCCAAATTGCCAGTTTATATGTCATGGATTATAATTTGATCATTTTTTTCAGTTGGTAAACATGCAATTTTGAGAATAGAAAGAATGCCACTTTATGGATCCAATTTTTGAGGCCAGTTTGAATATATTTCAATGTTTCTGAGTTGTTAAGACGGAATTGACAAGAAAAATAACGTAATAAAAAATAACATAAGCGAATTTTTATGTCAGTTGGTTGCAGGCAATTTGGAAAAAAGCGTGGCAATCAAGACTGGGGTCCCAGGACTTCATAAACAGTGAAAATCTGCACATTCGTGCTTAGTAAATCACAATTTAGTTTGAAGTTTTGAATTGTACGACTTGTAATGCTAGCTCAAATGTTAAGGAATACAATTTAGTCAATTTTTATTTGAGTTGGTAAGCATGCAATTTTGAGAGTAGCTAGAATGCAACTCTGTGGATCCAATTTTTATGGCCACTTTGAACATATAAGTGTTTTGAGTTGTTATGATTGAATTTATAAATAAAAAAACATAAGTGAATTTTTATGTGAGTTCGTTTGCAGGCAACTTGGAGAGAAGCGTGGCATTCCTGACTGGGGTTGCTGTCAGTTTTGTGGCCCCTGACTTCATAAACGGTGGAAATTTGCTCATTCGGGCGTCTGATCATTGTCGAGAGTGCAAAATTGTCGCGGTGGGAGTCGAAAAGACACGTGTTGTTTTTTTATGCTGTGTTAAATCCGTCGGCGTGATAATCCCCGGGGCGAAATCTTAGAGTGTCAACGCGTAAAAAGAAAAAGTAATATAATAAATAATCAACTTACATAGATGAGTCCGGAGTAATATCTGTCTTTGATGTTGTGAAGGACGCAGGCCTCGTTGAGACAAGTGAGATCGGCCATGTCCTCGACTTTGTCGTACTTGGGCGGGTTCATCTTCTGGATGTCGTCTTTGGGGACGAGGGTCCTTTTCCCGGTCTCGACGATCTCGACTTCGACTTCGTCGCCGCGCTCGCCTTTGATGCCGGCGACGACGAAGCCGGCCACGTCGTGCGGCACCCAGACGAGCCTCTTCTGCGTCCATTCCGCCTGGGTCGCCGGGTCGTTGAAAGTGTTCCTGTCGACAGACAAATATTTGAAATCCGGGTCCGAACGGTCGACCTTCGTGTCGTCAGCCATGTTGCGATCGGAAGCGCGAACACCGGGTGCGAAGGGGAGAACGGGGCGGCCTGTCGGTTCACTCGGCACACAATACACTCGAGGAAAATAGCACGATTATCCTTTTATACTCAGGAGGAACAGCACATATCACACAAGTATAGAAACACACTAATTTCCATCCGGTTAACAGTTAAACAGGTGTGTGCTCTGTGAGGAGGCTGGTGAGCTTGTGTCGTGAACCCTCTCGGTCGACTGGGTGGAAGACGCCCGTTGCTCGGCGATAAATCGATTCTAACATCGACCCCGACCCCGGCGGACGCCCCCTCCCGGCCTAGGCCACCCTCTCCAACCGTCAGGCCCCCTCCGCAATTCACAAAATAACAAATCACTCGATAAATCATAAAACATGCCAAAAAAGAAAAACACGACCTAAATAAAATACGTACGAAAAAATCAACAAAAATATCAAAATACAAGCTATAAAAACATCACTTAAAACAACAGGTCATACAAACACTACAAATATTCAGAAAATCAAACACTACACTCCAAACAAAATAAAACAAAACAAATTAAAATATTAAAACTAAACTTAACAGAAATCAATTTTAAAATCACCCACAAAAAAACACAAAAAGAAAAATTACATCTAAACCGATACTGTCCCTTAACTCTCTTACTTAACGAAAACAAGTAAATATTCCTTTTTAACAAAAGCAATCAGGATTAAGGATAGAATTCCCGGTTCGGTATGATTGATAATCGATGGATCGATGATAATCGGGATGACTGTAGAGAATTCCGGTTGGACCGGACGCCTTGAGGTGGCAGCACGAGCCCTAGGTGGGTCCTCCCGCCTAAGAGACCGATTTTCCGTTGTACTTTTATTTTTACCTTTGTCGAGAGGGGAATGTTGTCAAAAAAGCTGGTTGTGATTTTTAGTTGAAAAGATTAAAAACTCGAAGAAACTCAGTAGATTGAGTGCCTGACGAGTGACGTTATGCAATGCCCTACCTATTCCAACAGACAATGGCATTCGGTTTTAGATTTGTTGTAAATTTCCTTTCGGTATCGGGAAAGAATTTTGACCAACCAACCAATTTTTATGATGTTAGGGATAATAAATTCGTTTACGGAACGGAAGAAATCGAAGCGGTATAGAAACGAGAGGTTGAATAAATTTGGATCATTTTGGTACGCCACGTGGCGGTGGATGGACGTACTACTGAGGATTTAGCCTTAAGGCGAGGATCTTATTTTCCAAGATTTAACTTTAGTTTTTAGTTTCTAAAATTGTCTTTGTCCTTCAGTGTTTGTTCGTTCAGCAAGTCTGACGTTCCGAATTCCTAAAATCCATTGGGAGTATCGGACTCCTTGCATATGGGTAGCGCATTAGAGGGCAAAGATGGTTCGAACGTCATTAGAAACATTTGACTAACTACTTAACTACGATCGCATAACAAAAGAAGATGCACACAAAACTGCAATATATTAATTATAATTCGGTGATTGCAAGTTCTAATAATTGTATGATCCAACTTCAAGTCTTCTTGAAAAAAAAGTACACACATAGTGCAAAAGTTGGAACAGGAAACAGTCAACACGTTTCAAGTCATGTTTCAATTTGAACGTAAGAAGAACAAAATTTTGACTGGTTTGAACCTGTTGATCAAACGTTGAAAGAGATTTGAATCTTGTACATGTTGCAACAAAAAAGCTGATCACCAATAAATTGTATGTAACATGGCATCGAAAGAGGTCGTACGCGAAGTTTTCAGTATTAGAAATATCGGCCACTTTTTCACTCACGAACACTCTGGATCAAGGTATGGTCTTGAAGAAGAAAGCAAATTCAGTTGTTACTGCTAAGCTTTCGACCTATTTTAAGGTCATAATGAGGGCAATCTTAAATATGTCTTGACAGTCCTTGGCAATGATGGGACTGAGTCTTCGAGGTAATTTGAGTTTTTAGAGCAGATTTGGGCCTATAAAAAAAACTGAAATATGTCAAATCTGTAGACATATTTAACATTATTTCGCCCTGGTGATGACCTTAAAATAGGTCGAAATCTTTGCAGTAACAACTGAATTTGCCTTCTTCTTCAAGACCAGATGTGATCCAGAGTGCTCGTGCCGTGAATTTGTAGCAGTTGTGTCAGTTGTGTTAAAAGAAGGTAAACAATTTACGGTTTCTATAACTATCTTTACCCTCTAATGCAAACTCTCCAAGAATTCTTAATGGACGCTTCTTCTGCTCGATGCCGTAAGGAATATCAAATTACTTCCTGATGGAACTCGCATTAGAGGATAAGATGGTTATAGAAACCATTTAAGAATTTCTAAAGACAAATATGATAAAAATTCAGACTCGCATATATAGACATGCACGTAAAAATATATTAGATATATGTATGTCCAATATTAAGTTTTTGCATTAAACTCTAAGTCGACATGGGACAAAAATTAACAAAACAACAGGTAGTGTTGTTGAACAGGATTTGTCAGACCCATTTCGGTTTCTCGTCATGTGTTGGGTTAGTGTCTTGCCTCACCCGGCTTAGAACCCTGACTGTCTGCAAAAGCCATCACCGACCAAAATAATCGGAGACGACCAGACTATATGCCCATCATCACGCATATTTCAAGGGGAAAGTTCAAATTTCCTCGTTGTTTCGGTTTGTCAGACCTATTTCGGTTTCTCAAAATGTGTTGGGTAGTGTCTGGCCTCACCCGGCTTTTTGTGCCGTTATCTGTGACCAAAAGAAGTTTTTTTTCACATATACAAAACTAGCATAACATGCTTTTATATTTATTTTTTATTTTATTATTTATTATTTCTGAATGAATCAAAGAGAACGCTTTGAATTTGAATTGAATTTTGGATAATAGATACGTTTCGGTTTCTCGCCTTTTGTGGTGATCCCTGTCTTGGCCTCACCCTACTTAGAACCCTGACCGACTGGAACGCCATCACCGACCAAAATAATCGAAGACGACAGACTATATGCCCATCAACGCGCATATTTCAAGGGGAAATCTCAAAATTCCTCGTTTCGGTTTGTCATACTATTTCGGTTTCTCGAAATGTGTTGGGCAGTGTCTTACCTCACCCTGCTTACAACCCTGACTGACTGGTAATCCATCACCGACAAAAATGATTGGAGACTACCAGACTACTCACTTAGACCTTCATGACAGATTATATTACCAATAAGGATGCAAAACTTGTCTCATAGGATATTTTAACCGTGTATGATGGGAGGAACAGGATATCCAATTTATTCGAAATTCATAGTTGCCATGACTTGGTACTGTTCCACGGTGGGCATGTCTCTTTAGCTTTGTTTATTTCTTCACGTATGAGCTTTACCGGGGTAAAGTTGTAATTCAAAGCCATAGATCAGCTGTTGTTACTTTTACCTTTAACCATTCAACAGAGTTTTGGTAATTGCTCTTAGCCTTATTTTTTGACCGTTCGTTGAACAAATACTTAAACGTTGGGCTTAAAGCTTAGCCTGACAACTAAATTTAGTTATAATTAAAATTAATCTCAATAAGATTGAGCTATATAGATCTTTCAAGGATTCTAATGGAAACTTCAACCTTCAATCCTCACAGAATGACAATTTAAAATCATCGACAGGGTACTACGCAAAACAGTGTTTTTTAAGTATGCAGTTTTTGACGTATTTTGTGTTTTCGTTTGATTTGACATAACCTGGTAAATTTTTATAAGTGCCAATTGCCATATAAAATCACACGTGTTATAAAAACAAGCAAATAAAAAAATAATTGGACGTCTAAAGCTCATCCTTGTGACCATTTCGGTACAGCTGGCTGATCGTTAAGAGATCGTTACATCTGTTAGGTGAAAATTGGAACGTCGAACCAGGACCGAACATCGCCTTTCAAGGAGGCGATAGGCCCATTAGGAAAAGAGTTATACGGCCAAAACGGGGTCCTTAAAGCTTGTCGTAATTTTCTCGTTTACCCTAATATAGATTAATAACTAGGTCTGAACGACTCAATAATCACTTTCATGTTCATTATTTAAAGCCGAATAGACGGTAAGAACAGGGTAGGGGTACGCTGTTTGAATCACGTATGAAAATTACTTGGTATTCCGGGTAATTTGACATTAGATGGAAAAGATTCGTGAAAAATAGAATTCATTTTTTAAATTAATTCAATTTAAATTCAAAGTTGAAATAAAACAATTTTCATTAATAAATAATTTACGTACTCTTCGCTTAATAGGCAAGAAAAGGTCCGTCTAAGGATAAGATAAAAATGAGTGGTGATTAGTGACCGTTAATCGATAATTATTCAGAAATCGTGAGATTCTCGTTAAATTCTGAATAATTATAAGATAAAAATATTTTTTCAACAGACACCTTAAGTGGGTTCACAATCTAAAAAATATATGAAAAATTTCGGCATATTTAAAATCAAAATCCGATTAATAAAAACCTAAATAATTTTTGAAATGAATACTTATATCACGTGAATAACTAATTTACCAAAGTTAAACCTCTGTAGGATCACAATCTTAATATGTATATATATTTAAATGGGATCAACATTTAAAAATATCTATTCTTTCCTGAAATTTTGGTAATATAATATCAAACACCGATTACCCGAAATAGCCTAAATAATTTTTTTATGCCCAAGAAAGGCTATGGAAGAATAATCAGATTTCGTGTATAACTAATTAATCAAAATTATACCTTTATGGGGGCACAATCTAAAAAATATACTTAAAATGTAATTCTGTCCGGAAATTTTGGTATATATAAAATCCAAAACCGATTACTCGAAATACCCTAAATAATTTTTTGAAAAGGGCAAGTACAGCTATGCAGGAATACACAGATCGCGTGAATAATTTACCAGAATTACACCTTTATGGGATCACCATTTAAAAATGTCAATTCTTTCCGGAAATTTTGGTATATATAAAATCCAAAACCGATCACTCAAAATACCCTAAATAATTTTTTTAAGCCCAAGTACGGCTGTGGAAAAATGGGCAGATTTCTTGAAGAACTAATTTACAAAAATTAGACCGTTATGGGGGGGCACAATCTAAAAAATATACGAAAAATGTCAATTCTTTCCGGAAATTTTGGTATATATAAAATCAAAAACCGATCACTCAAAATATCCAAAATAATTTTTTTTAAGCCCAGGTACGGCTATGGAGGAATGGTCAGATCTCTTGAAGAACTAATTTACTAAAATTAGCCCGTTATTTGGGGCACAATCT